TAACTTAAACCCTTATAAATGCCAATCAGGAAAACCTTTCCCACCATAACCAAACCTAGTGCCTACCACATAACCCCTGGCGCATAGAACTTCACATACGTCGATCAAGAAGACGTATACATAGTACTATCCATACATCAATCGTGAAAACTTATCCCACCATAACCTAACCTAGTGTCTACCACTTAACCGTTAGTGCATAGCATTTCACACACATCAAACGGGAAAACCTATCCCTTCATAACCCAGCCTAGTACATACCACATAAACCCTGATACATAACACCACCCACGCATCAATCATGAAAACCTATCCCACCATAACCTAACCTAATGCATACCACTTAACCTCTAGTGCATAGCACTTTACATACGTGGATCAGAAAGACATATCCCACCATAATTTAACTTAGTGCAAACCACATAAATCTTGGTACATAGCACTACCCATACATCAATCATGAAAATCTATACCAACATCATTAACCTAGTTTCTATTACTTAACCCTTGGTGCATAGCATTTCACACACATCAAATAGAGAAAACCCATCCCATCATAACATAGCCTTGTGAATACCAAATAAACCCTGATACATAGCACTACCCATAAACGTATCCCACCATAACCTAACCAAGTCTATACCACTTCACATACGCCAATCTGGAAAACGCTAGTACAATGGATGCGTAGAACACTATTACTTAGTGAAGGATTGAAAATGTTTAATTCAGGGCTGAGCCATAGGGCTGCTAATCCTTACTAATTGATTTACAAGTCGATAGAAACGAGTGATAATAATTAAAAGAAGTCGAGAACGCAAAAATATTTTTTTGAAAAGGAGTGCTTAAGAATATGGATGTGAATAATCTAATATTCTCTGAATGACAGGGATAATATGGGTTTCCAGATATATTTTAGCACGTCAACACGACCGCACGAAAAACTGACTACGTCATCCCTTACCGCCAGGGTTCGACAAGGACAGCTGAGTCAACTCCACCACCACCCTTGACGACTGATTAAAACAATACGTCATCCCCCTTTCATTTCTCCCTATTCGGCCTTGACGTTTTGTTTCTTTTGTTCCAGCCAACAATGGGAAAATTGTACGTATGTACTATACATAGCATTAGTACATAGATACAGATATAAACGATAGGTATTAAGTACCCTCGTTTTAATGCCTTTTTTATGATAATGTAGAAACAAATATACCTGTAAACAATATAAACTTTATCAATAATGTTCTCTTAATGACTATTACTACTTAATTTGGTTCAATTAACGTACACACCAAGTTAATTTCGTAATTATAAAAAAAAGACAACAGCCGCTACAGCTCGTTTATTACGTTTTAATGAGGTGTCAGAAAATGCTTTCTCTTCTCATTTCTTTTAAGATTTTCTTCTGAGAAGGAAAAACTTTTTCAATTAAAAAGTTCTAAGATTGATTAAACAATGATGATTAAGTTTTCCTTTGTTTTGCATATATACATACATACATAATGTCAAGGACGTTACACAAGAAAGAAAATACTTCAGTATCTAAAATACGTTTTTTCATGCACATGCCATATGCATGCAACCCATAATTTCTGAATGATTTAGTGCATTCTAATATTCATACTGCTGGCAGCAGCTCATAAAAATTAGTAAGTCAACTCGTACTCATTATCCACTTATCTTATCAACTAGGACATAAGGGTATTGAACGATAATGAGAAAGTATCATAAATATATCATACAAATGCCTTAAAAATTTTTTGAAAATAACTTCCTGCTGATAATTAGGAATAGTAATTGCATATAATATTTATTAATACTTGATGTAGTACTTGCAAATTACGTAATAGTCTTGCCTCAATTAAATTAAGTGTAGGATTTTAAAAGCACTTTCACGTTAGTTTTAGAAAGAAAATCTCCTTGGGCATTTACTTGATCAAAGTTTTGAAGAGTGGATGGCCAAACCAAATTTTAAAGTTAAAAGGCATCCCTTAACGCAACTTTCTAGAAACTTCTACCGAGAGCTAAAATTCTCCGACTTTATTGATGGATTTAACAAATGTATAGCGAACTTCAACAGCGTTCAAACTCCCGTCGTTTGCAAAATTTCCCCAACGAAGTTTGAAAAACTGTTGAAGAGCATTATTATAGGTACTTACTCGACTGCCACTTTTAATAAGCAATTTTACAACGAAAATAAGAAAGTGAGCTCGCCGAGCGTTTATCTACAAAACAGTCTGTAAGATTTGTGATAATTATGTACATGAGCATGTTCATCTTTCCAGAGACATTACTTAGAAATTAGAAACACTAAAATAAATAATTTCAGAAAATCAAGAAAAAATTTAGAAATCGTAATGTACCTTACTTAACTTACTGACTACCTCTGGTTCTTTCCAAACAATCTGAGTAAGTAGATATACGAGAATAAATCATTTACTTTGTAGTAATTTAATCGATATAGGCACCTAAATGATCTATAACATTATTCAAGGTCAGCCATACTTCCTTTAGTTGATTTTATCCTTGCATTAAGTACATTTTTGTATGGGTTACTGCTGTTCGAATTAAATTAGGTAGGCAATTTGTGTAAATATGTTCAGTCAGATATAGAAGTAATTGCTGTTTAATTTCATCTTAAAAATAAAACGAAAGAAATAGTTCGAATTTGGTATCTACACATGCAGCGCATCAGTTTCAATCATGGCGTCCTTGGCGACCGGTTTATATCATTCCAATTGTACTAATCAAAACGCATTCATTAATTTAACATACACGACTGATTAACCTTCAACTACAGGCCACAGCAGTAATAAGGCATCCAATTGTTGATAAACAACTAGTTAATCGATTGTAACAACAATCAATAAATGAGGTCGCCATACCGTTACTTGGACTGTCGCCTGTCCAATACAGTAATACTGCATTGTTGTTTGTTAACTTTCCACTTATATACGCCATCCAGTAATTGCAAAAAGAAAAGGAGCGTGACCATGATGCACAAAAAGTAGCATTTTCTTTGTTATTTAACCAACAACAACTTACTTGTATCAATTACGGCCGTTAGCCATGTAACGCGTGTACGTGAATGTAAGCCTGTCTGTGTGTGTTATTCCAGGGACAGCAACAGCAAGTCTCTTGGCTCTTGCAATTACAATCCGATCGATAAATCGACAATTCACAGGGCGTTCCCGCACTTATCACACAAAAACACAACTATCACAAAAATCGCCGGTATTGTGCGAGAAAAATCCACGGAAATTATACAAAAATCGCGACGAAATGCTGAACGACAGTACAATACAGACAGCCTAGAGCGGAATGGAGGAGAAAGACGATCGGTAGTAGGTAGACTAGGGCGACGTTGCGCTGCAGTCGCCAGGGCTGGGCCGCCAACGACAAGCATGGCAACAGAGACAAATGCCGAATTGCCAGATCTAACCAAAAGTTCACTGGCTAGATATTTAACAACATACCCCACGTTCTATTAATTTATATACGAAATGCATATTTTTAACGCTTAATATAAAAATAGAAACAATCTGACTGGACGTAAGAAGACAAGAGAGTTATTACTGTGCAATTAAAATGTTTTTTGAATTTTCACATGCTAAACAACAATTATAGATAAAATTTTGAAATATACATAGTTACACAGGCAACTTCATAGGTATTATAACCACTTGTAATTATTTGTTATAATTGCGGTATTACAATTATAAATCTAGTTGCTACATAAAAATGTTCTTTATATCTTATTCTTTCAGAAAAGTGTAGAAAATAAAAATGAACCCACATTCCTACCTGTATGTAAGATGTGCTTTAATAACACTCTAAAAGATAACAAAAAACGTACCTACCGAATTCTTATTCAATCCTTCCACTAAAACGTCATAGGTACCTAGTAGGTAGACACTAATCCTTTAATTTAATATTATTATTCTGATAATTTCCAATTTCCTTATTTTTTTGTTTATTAAATTTAAATTTCATCATTAGTTTATCTACTTACAAATAACTTTAGCAGCAGTAGAATAGGATTCTACAATATTTAACTTATTCTAATGCTATTTCCTTCAAACATTAGCCTGCAATTGTATACATATAATCAATTCTACTTTTAGTAAAAAATACCTAGTTGAGTTACGAAAACTTATAGTAACTTATTGCATGGTATACTTATAGTACATAGATACACTTTTCTTTAGTAAGAACCATAAAGAAAGTCGTATGTTTAGAAATCAAACTGGCAACGTTGCCGTCATACTTATGGCAATAACAGCATATGGCGGTTGCGAGGTTTGTTATCTTATACTCTTATTGCACAAATACACGTACGTACATACACACGTATTAAAACGTGCAGCCGCGCTATTTTTTCGCGCTCTTAACGGCAGCAGCGCAGCAGCGTCGGCCTAGAGTGAGTACACGTACACGTCCACTTGGTATAAACCAGTCAACGAGTTTTATTGCGGAAACAAGTTTTACCATCCAGTACAAACTTCACGTCATCCATTATTATTATTAAACGCATTTTTTTGTCGTATTTACTCATCGAAAGCACATAAATATGCACTCATGTGTAACTGTACACTTTCTGGCAAGTAAATATGCATAAAACTAAATAATAAATCATTTTGAAGAACGGTGTTGTCCGTTTAATGTTTTTTCAATGCAAGTAGGTATTTCTACCTGTCTAACGGACAAATAAATACCTACCTAAACCTTTTCATCTCAAATTATTACCTATTACCTTACGATAAAATACAATACCCAAATTAAGAATAATTTGAATGTTACGAATTACTCAACAATTGAAATAATTCAAAATTAGAATCGAATTCGACTCACAACGAATTTTATCACTAGAAATTTTCGAGTAATCGAAAACGGTTTTTTATTTTTAATTTAACGATGCTTCTATTTTTAGCGAAACGAAGAGTAAATAAAACATTAAAAAAGAAATAAACAAGAAAGCGAACAAGTAAATGACTCACCGTAATGGGCAGGTGCTGTTGCTGACGATTATTATGGTGGTGGTGGTGTTGTTGTGCCTGGAGCACGGCGGTAGATCGTGACCTTCGGGGGGTGATACCCACGTTCTCGCCTCGCATTATAGACTCCACCACTGTAAACAAAAGGCCTAAAGGAACAAAAGCAAGCACTCGCTCATAACCGGGGCGTTTTATTGCTTTCAAAACAGCACAACACCATGCTAAATAGAAAAGTTCGAACAATCTGGCATAGCTCCGTATTTGGAGGGTTAATGAGGCTGGAAGGGTGGAGGGACCGACACATTACGTAACAGAACCCCGTAAATTGCGATCATCCTATATATTTTGTTATTTGATCAAACTAGACCTATAGAAACGTATGTCCATTGCTTACTGTTGGGCAATCATCCTCGGTTTCAAACCATCTACATATTTGAAAATGAATACAATTATTTTGTCCACCCTGTACTTTTTTTTACGAGAATTTATTAAAGAAAAAATGTACCTACCCAGAAAGAGATCTGGGTCATGCGACAAAAGAAACGAGCAAGCAATTTGATGGATAGAACGTCTCATGTATAAAGCTGAAGACGACCGGAGAAATACAGCAGCAAAAGCCCCCTCGGCCTCCTCTACACCCCCCGACCTATTCCATTTCTACCGATATATCGGGAGGGCCTCTGCAACCAGAAATACGGAAGAAACGTGAGAAATGAGCACCTGCTAGCGGCCAAGTGCATTGACTCTCGGAGATACGGACAGAAGGTGTTGTGAAAGAGAGACGGAAATAGGGCAAGAAATTAATAGAAAGAGAGGGGGAGTTGACAGACAGTTCAGCTGCAGTCATTTCAATTCAATATACCGGATATTACTTCATAAAACATTCGTAAACTTGATTGATTGATAGGTACCATGACTGCAACAACAACTAATAAAAAAAGGGCAACGCGTAATCCGGAGAGGTCCCTCGTCGATTAAAAAAAATGATACAACCTTTCCTTTAAAAAAATATGCATTGAAAATGTATTGTAAAAGAAAAAAAAAAAACAACCTTCCCTAAATAATGAATAAAGTTGAAACCATACACGTAAAAATAAGAGACCAAAAAGTTTAAAAAGAAATAAGGAAAATAAAATTGATCAAATAATTGATTTATAGTTCATTTAATTTATTTTTTGGTAGAGACATCCCTTTTTACATAATTTATTATGGAGTACCTAAGTAAATTTTTATTCATTCTGCAAAAATATGTGTTCCTATGCAGGTAGGTACCTTCTTGTCGCTTAAATATGGAGTTAAAAGACCAAAGGACTGACACTTACCCCCATCTCCTATGAGACGCATTTGTACGAGGGTTGGGTCGACATTGTGCTCTTCGAGCACTGTGTCGTCTGTCACTGTCAGGTCCTGAAATAAAAAAAAAATGTAAGCTGCTGTCTGCATGCTGGTATTCTATACAGGTAAGGCAAAACTTACACACACACCGAACATTGGGATCCGTCAAATGGGAGAAGCCTAAAAACATGGCGCTGATTAGGGAAAATTTATCGTAGTTCCTATAGTGTACCGTGCAATTTCCAAGTTTTTAAATTATGATAAAATGATAAGTATTGACACAATATGTGATAGGGCTGACACAAAGCCTCGGAAAGGAAATTTCGTTGAA